GTAATGTAATGTAATATGAAAACTTGTATGTATTGATTCAAACTGATACCCAGTAAACCAAAGAATATATGTCTCAGGCTGCTGAAGAAGGGGTAGTATGCGAAAACCACAAATGCCACAATCATAGCAAACGGGTCTTGTAGCAACTTTGCAGTGTTCTTGTTGTTGCTGAATGAGCAACAACAAGAACTTCCTACTCTCAGTCGTACTCTCCATGAACTGTTGTTGCTCTTAAATACCACCCAGCCTAGAGTACAGGGTACAACTCTGTAGTAGAAGAGAGAAATCTGATCAAGAATTATTGGTGAGTGATATTGTCTGTGAGCACAGACATACTTATCCTTGTGTTGACGATTTACATGGCCAGAAGTACAGTTTAGAAGTGTAGAGTAGCTATGATGAACCTAATACATTTTGGACATCCGTTCCTTTGTAGGCTACATGATTTGTGCCGTTTTAAATTTAACCAGATCAGTGAACTTCAATATGTGTGACTTCAAAAATAATACATTAGTGTGTTTAAGATATCCAACATTATTGATAACTCTTCTAGCCCTTTTTTGTAATGTGCATAATGGCTGTAGGTTGGTTTTGTACGTGTTTCCCCAAATCTCCACACAGTAAATCAGATAGTTTTTGATTTGATTTGAATTTGATCATTGAAGGTTGAACATTTCAGCATGCATAATTGCAGAGCAAAAGGAAAAGTACCATGATTAATTTTCTTGAAAATGACATCATCTCACTTTGCATGTATAATTCTTTCAAATGGTGCTGTTGTAATACTAATTTCAGCCACAAGAGGCTGAAATGCACCTCAATATACAGTAGATATCAATATCAGCTCACCTTGAAGAAAACACAAATGCTTTGGTTCGCTGAAGAGCATGCCAAGAGCACCTGTTTTTACAGAGGATAGAAAAAGGTCCTTGCTAAAACATTTGTTCACATATGAAAAACTATTTGTTCATCTAAAAGAGATTATCCTGGCAACATTTCCTCAGGCATTAACCTGGCATTTGTATTTGTCTCATTTGCCTTTCAGGGCTTCCGTATCCCTAATTGGCTGTCTAGCTTTTTACAAAATACATTTGTTGTTGCCTTATAAGAAGACAAAATAATTACATTGCACTAATGCAACCAGTGTTCTGCAGACTGTGTGCCAGTAGGAAGAAGGCAGCAGTATATGGTTGAGCGGAAGCAGTGACGCAGAGGGGACAGAACAAATGAAAGATGGGAAAGGGAGGGAGAATTGGAAGACAAAGAGAAATGTGATGTAGCAGAGGGGAGTTAGACGCTGAAATATCACGTGCGTCTTTGTCGGACACAATTGAACAGGCTCTGAAACATGCTGCTGCCTCTGTGCGCATGAGAAAGATGGGCCCTGCCAATGAAAAATGTCTTTGCTAGTTTTCTGTAAAGCAATATGACACGTTGAGTCACCTTTCACGAGTACATGTTCTGGTTTTCTTTCCCTCGTTGTTTTTGTGCGTGACACAACTCTGTCTTTCATTTCTTTGTGTCTTTTGCTGCATGCACATCACCCTACCACCTTTCTCCATATTAGTCCTGCCCAATGGGAGGCAAACATGTCTTTTGTGTCCACTAATGAGATAAACCATGAAAAAGATCTATCCTCAAGTGACCCCATTAAATCAACCACACTCCAGGATGTTAATAAGAGAAGCAAATGTGCAAAAAGGGGTTCAATAACCGGAAGACATTATATATAGTTAATAGCTTCAAGAGCGGCCGGAGAACAGTGTGATCTGTGTTGTTACCTTGGCAACAGTCACACCTATACAGTATTCCATGACCCTCACTAACAATCCCTACGAATTCCTATCAGTGTTGATGTCACACAGGACAGAATTGCGCTGCCGCACTTGTAGAAAAGATTCCAGGATTTGGATTAGATGATCGAAAGTGCAATCAGTTCATCTCTGGGAGTCTCCTGCCACGCAGAGAAAGATAACAACACCGTGACGCACAGTGGATCAAAGCCGAGTAAGGAGAAAATAAAGTGAGATGCAGCGGGATGCAGACAGAGGGACCGATAAAGAGAGATTGGACAAAGAGACGGGCCAGCACATGTGCAGGAGTGGGTGTGGGCCGGGGAAGCCTCTATTTGATTCTGTGTGGGTATTACACAAACACCACGTTGTGAGCATCACACTCATTGATGAGACGGTGCCTACACACGCAAACCTGCTGTGTGGGTGACTGGCACAACAGGGATTGACTGACACTCCGTGGTGGCATTTAGACAAACTTGTGCCTCAGCAGCCACACACACTGGCACAGCTGGTGCTGTGGGTGAGTGTGAAGGGGTGGCCTGTGAGGTTTTGGTCCCGAATGGTCACTGGGTACTGGAACTCGTCCATTAGACCAGTTAAGGACAAGGCAGGAGGTGTGAGGGAACAACAAGACCACACACACCAGGTTATGGGTCCATTCAATTACTCATGTCATTAATGCCTGATGCTTCTGTTTACACACCAAATGTGACGATGTCTTCCATCATACTCATCTGTTGAGTGTTAATATAAATGGATGCACTTCTGTCTCATGACTTTCATTCTGAAAGCCTACATTTACTTCAAATGTCAGACATACAAAAAAGCAAATATTTGCCATGGTCTTCTTTTTTTCTTCTTGTCAAGTGTTCCACTAAAATGCTCTTTAGAAACTATGCTATAGTCACTGTATATCATTTTATATTGTGGCTAGTTCTAATGCCGGAATCTGTGTTTAGTGATTCATCACGGTTACAGGTTCATAACTCTATTAATTTATGACTGCTATTTCACATATGGGCAATTCTAGTGCTACACATGAACTTGTTATAATGACATTATTCATTATGAAAAACCTATAAGTGAACTAATTTGTTAACACGACAATCATCAAGCGGATACAACAACCCAAGACCTAGCAAGTGAGCTAACTTAGTTCTGTTACCCACCTAGCTCCAGGTCTTGCACAACACCAGCACTGCTCCCAACCAGCCATCACCCCAGGCTTGAAAACCTTGTTCTAGGTAAACAGCAACACTGCCCTAATAGGCTAAATGAGCTACCAGCTAACTAGCTAAGGGCAGTTAGCTGGTAGCAGTTAGTGTTTAGCTTTACTTTTGCAACAGCAAAAGCTTTCTGTTTTTCAGGAAACTCTGTATAGGCCTATCACAAGGCAGAGCAACCAAAATACATCATGAAATAAAATCAAGTTTCACCGAAATGTATTTAGTGCCATAAAACTGTCAGGGGATATCATATTAAAGTGACACATTGCAGAAATTAGAGTTTGGGCTGCAGAGTGGGACTGAGAGAGGCACATTTCCAGTTTTTACAATTATGTTTTTCATCAAGTTTTGAAGCTGCTATTATAAGAAACAATAGGGACGTAATGTTGCATTTCTTCAAGGAATTTACTGACACAAGTCTACAAGTCTGATTTAAAAGCTCATTTCATCTTGGAAGCCTGCATAAGACTCTTGAACTGATTATGTCCCAGAGCATAATCCGTACCTTTCTGTCCCACTCAGTAACTAGATGTCGAGTCACTGCAGGAGTGTACTGCAGTAACACAATAGGGAAAAATGCTTTAAAAATCTAAAATGAGCTTTAGTATGATAATAATAATGAGATTTTAATGTTTGTAATAGAATGTTGGCATTACCAGGCGTTAATATCTATTTGCAGCTTCCTATGATGTTAAGAATTGCCCAAAATGGTAATAAATTGTGTTTAATGGTATTTAGCTATAGTGATATTTCCACCTTTACTATGGTTAGATATTTATTTTGCAATGGGTCACTGGATGACAGAGGAATATAAAAACACATGTTTTATGTTTTATGACAGGCAACATTTAAGCAATATAAAGTACACAACATATCACTTTTTTCAGTAATACACAAACATTTCAAACATAATTCAACTTTACAGAGCTGTTGTATTGCTTTGCATTACAGAGCTTTAAATCATTCCATTAAAATAGTAAACTACATTTGGATTATATTTGCAGAAGGAAAAGGCAATCATTTTATTTATCACACTAGTATTATTGTCACCATTGATGCTATCTTGCTGTTTGGTGTCATCAGCAGCTCGACAAAACAGACTAGAGAAAGGTGAGAACATGTAGGCGGTTGTGTGTTGCTGTCTTTCTGGATTAATGGCGTCCTCCGTTTTCCTAATTGATCAGCTTAACATTAAGTAGTACTTAAGTATTTGTTCTTCTTTAATTAAAAAAATACAGATGAGAGCAATTGCACTTTTACCTGCTTCAACAGTCTTTGTATAAAAAGATCCAATGGGGAAAAATAAGAAAAACCCACTTACATCTAACCACTCTTGCCTAGTGCATTCACTTCTCCTACATCATCTAAGAAAGCAAACAGCTTGATTGGAGCATGTCGTATTTAACCTCTACAGCACATACTACTCAATCATGGTCGTTTTCAATGACTCTCTTCTGGCACTGAATTCTCCCTTGTCGTTGAATCATAATTTAGGGGCATCCTCTTTTCTTAAAACAGAACCATCTAAGCTCTCTCTGCATCTATGTGTCTGGCTGCCGGAAGTAGCCCATAACTGTCTATGAGAGAGCCAGCCAGGAAACGAGCCATGCGCTCTTCTCCTACCCGTTCTGCGCTCCTCCACACACAGAGCCCAGTCATCATCAATGGGCACCGTGCCTTGCCCCCCTCTCTTTACTGTGTCTTCACTCCATCTCCCTTCCTCCGTTTTGTTCTATGTGCGTCGAGAACGTCTCCTCCTCTCATTGCCTGAGCGCACGTCTCCAACCAGCGCAATCTTTACGCGCGTACAAGCTCTCCAAGAGAATCCCCGACGGTGGGGCCCCTCCCCTTTCCGTTCCTTGCCGCCCTCACTCATTCATGACCCGGGATTGGTGACGTAGGAGATTCCTCCTTGCCCACTGCCGTAGGCAATAACGGCATGCTTGAGTATATATGGGACAGAGGAGCCAACAACCGGCACAGTCGCTCCGAATCGGGAACTAGGCATCAGCAGAGATAGCAGGCTTTACTTCGCCCTATAGGCTAACTCGCTTTACGCTTTGGTTCAGGATGGACACCTCTTCGATTTCTCGGAGCCGACGATGCTCCTTTATGCGCAACTGCAAAAGTAAGTTTGTCTTCTTTGGTTTTGGATTCCTGGATACTACAGTCTTAGAGCTAATGCTGAATTGTAATACTTGTACGACTACTACATTTCTAATCTAAGAAAGATTGATGTACTTTTGTATACATTTTAAATGTAACATCAAATATGGATACAAAAAAAACCGAGACTTTGACGTTCTGCTTTGCAACTGTCTTATATTATGACTTATACAATCAGATTTATATACACACTTATATAGTCACATTTCAAAATGTAGAGAGGAATATAACAATAACGTTGTATAGAGCTTAGAAGAGCTGTTGCGTTTTGAGATTGCTGTGATCATTGTGTGCGTAATGGTCCGTTTAAGTGTACTCTGATGCGTAAACTCCACTTATTGTAAAAATAGAAAGCTCTAAAGTTGAGACCAAATCTAGATTTGACTCGAATGCCAGTGCAATAATAGCAACCATACTCATTCAGCATGCCAGTGATGTGTCAGTACCACGGACAACTCGCTCACCTTCCTCTCTCCCCCGTTATCTTTCAGGCGGTCTCTCCCTCTGGCTGGTGGTGTGGCTGGTCCTCGGCAAGCCAAGTCCGGCATCGGCGTGTCCGCACAATTGCGTGTGCTACCCGACGCCCATGACTGTGAGCTGCCAGGCGCAGAACTTCACCGCCGTCCCAGTCGGAGTGCCCTATGAGTCGCAGCGCGTATTCCTCCAGAACAACCGCATCACGGAGCTGAGAGTTGGCTCTTTTGGATTTGGGACTCAGGTAAGAAATAATTTAAAAACGGTGTTTTCAGAATGGGAAGGATAAAGCTTGATTTTTTAGTGAAATTATTATTTGTATTTCACATTTAATGTTTAATAATATCCACCGAGGAGAAAAATAACCGTTCAATTCATGCGTTTTCTCGCATCAGGTCCTGTGGCTGTTCTCTAACAACATCACGTGGATTGAAGCTGGGGCTTTCAGTGAGCTGAGGGACTTGGAGGAGTTGGACTTGGGGGAGAACTCCAACCTCCACAGGCTGGAGGGGGGAGCCTTCCGCGGCCTTGAGAAGCTCCAGAGCCTCCACATGCACCGCTGCCGGCTCACTGCTCTGCCCCATGACATCTTCCACAAGCTTTACAGCCTGCAGTTCCTCTACCTGCAGGTAGGGGCGCTGGAGATACATGCAATTAAATGCGGTTAGACTCAGTGCTGGCCTTGTTGAGCATCAAATGAATTATTCTGATCTTATTACTTTAATGAAAGTAGCAATACTATGATATTGAAATATTCTCTCAAAGTAAAAGTCCTACAAAATCTTAACGCAAGCACAACATATGTTTTTTTAGCCTTAACATTTAGAAAGTAAAAGTATTCACCTGATACAGAATTGCTTTTTTCCGAATCCCATGTAATATATATTTAGATTTTAATTAATCACTTTAATATTGCTAAAATATTTGCCTCAAATAATGTGCTTTATACACTTTTTGTAATTGTTGTTTTGAAAATTTATTATTATTTCGATTTTTTATTAAAGAATATGAAAAAGAATATGATCTACAAAATAACTAACGTTAGCAATTACATCCAGTGGAGTAAAAAGTAAAAACATTTGCCTCTTAGATAAGTGGAGTAAAAATATAAAATGAAAGAAAATGTACTTAGTTACTCTCCACCACTGGATACATAGACACATATATCAGCCACCCACAGCTTCAACATCTTGTTACATATATTACAAATACCATTGTGTCTCTTCTTTTCTTGCTTAACCTTTTTTATTCTTTGATTTTTCGTCCACAGGAGAATAATCTCCACTTCCTGCAAGATGACATCTTCTCTGACCTCATCAACTTGAGCCAGCTGTTCCTGCATGGCAACCGAATCCGCACCCTGTCAGAGAACGTGTTCCGTGGCCTGGTCAACCTCGACCGCCTTCTCCTCCACGACAACCGCATCAGGCAGGTGAACCGCAGAGCCTTCCGCGACCTCGGCCGACTCACCATGCTTTTCCTCTTCAACAACTCCCTGGCTGAGCTACCCAGCCAGGCCCTGAGGGACACCCAGGGGATCGAGTTCCTCCGCCTCAACGCCAACCCCTGGTCCTGCGGCTGCGAGGCCCGCGGCCTGTGGGAGTGGTTCCGTGAGGCCCGCGTCTCTTCTTCCGAGGTTATCTGCGCATCCCCTGCTGCCCGCCGCAACCAGGACCTCCGCTTTCTTCGTGAGATGGACTTCGCCCCCTGCCCCCTTCCCGACGCCGGCTCCATCGCTGGTTCCACCACCACCACCTTCAGCACCAAAACCCGCTGGTGGTTCCACAAGAACAAGCCTCAGTCGTCAACGAAAGGTGTCTTCGAGAAAGCCTCAGAGAATGTCAAAGCTGGTTTATATGGTAAAGGCCCATCCACAACAACCTCAGTAGTCAAGTACGAGTTGGGGGAGGAAGAGCTGGCGCTGCCCAAGCTCGACGCAGAAGAGTACTGGGCGAATTACGGCAATGAGGACTCAGGTGTCACCCTGCGATGCTTCGAGCTTGAATGCCCGCCTGACTTTGACCTGCCTACATCTTCTTCCTCTCCCTCATCGCCCTCTCTCCTCACACTCCTAGCCCTTTCTGTTTGCAGTCTCTGCTTCAACCTCCACCTGCTATTCGGCTGAATCTGACTCTTAGCGCGACATCCCATTCCCCTTTCAGGCTGTTTTAAAGGCTGTGAGGAATCCTGTTAGACTGACACCCCCTTTGCCCGCTTTGCTGTAAGCCAATTCTCAAGGCACAGCCAGGGAGATAGGGGGACGGTGAGATTCTGAATCTTCCACCTACAGGGCTTAACACTTAAGAGTTATTCAACTAAGGTCAAGTACATCTACAATACTCTACAGGTATGGCTTTATGTCACCTGTATGGTGTCACGTTGAGTTTCTCTGCAATCAGGGCTAGGAGGGGCTGAGTCCATCACCGATATCAGTGCAATTTGTAAATGATGTGTTCATTTTGTCACCAATAATGGCTATTAGTGCATTCAATGTACTGGCTGCTACGAATACTACGATTGCTGTTAGAATCAGTGCAAGACAATACTGTAACCACTTAAAGTGTTATGTAAATAGTATGATATCTGTGGTTCAACTTTCATCTCCATTTAGGAGTGCTTCTAAAGGGCAGAGCACAGTGTGGATTAGAGTTTGCTCAAAGAGGGAACAGAGAGGAAGATATACTGTGAAGCTTGGAGGGGAAAGAGAGTAAGAACAAAGGAACAGCAGCGAGGAGAATGGCAGGGAGAAGAAAGAGAGGGGTTGTTCAACGAAACAACATTAGAAAGAGGAAGATATCAAAAAGGAGGGAGAAGTGGAGACAGTGTTCATGCAGCAATAAGAAAAGAGGCGGAGATAACACAGCGAGGCACTGTGACAGGGACAGTGCTGGCCGTAGAAGCAGCAACATGCGGGAGAAAAGTAATAAATCCACTCATCAGCTAGTTGTACCCATCCATCTCACTACCATCCACCATTTTCTGTGAACGTGTTGTCGTGTGAGACAACAACTGTTAAATAATGCTTCCTATCAGGAAGCCAGATATTCTGCTTTTTTATGTCTTTCTGTGACATATTGATATACTGTGTTAAGATTGTTGACATGGATGCAGATCAAGATCTTGATAAAAAATACTACACCGAATATTTCCTGAATCATGCTTTTTCTTTGGGGCTGAACCAACTTTAGAAAAAGGGATTAAAAGGGGAACACCATTACAATTACAATGGTTTATGCCAATGGCCTGACAAATATTTGGAAACTACCCCCATAATCCAAAAAGTGACAACCTTGTGATGTCATGAAGTATATAGTCTGCAGCTGCTTCATAGAAATTGGCATCAATCTTCCCTGATATTTTTGGAGTGTCTTAGACAGTAGACACAACATGAGTTACAAACTGTTTAAGGTTTTTTATGGTAATTCAGTGATGAAAGCAAAAACAACATGGAACTGAAAAAGATAGCAGATTGCCGCTATTTGACTAAACTGTGACTAACGTGGAGTGAGAGTACTGACCACATGGAGCTGATGTCCCCTGATGGGCATCTGTCTGTCTTGTGTGTGTGTGTGTGTGTGTGTGTGTGTGTGTGTGTTAGTGTTGATGAGCTCTGCAAAAGGCAAATACGTCAGTAGGTTTGTCACCCCCATGACACATCGGTGGGCGATGCAAGATGGATGGAAGAGGTGCAAATTGACTGATTTGTAAATACGCTAAGAGAGCAAGAAGAGAGAACAGGAGACAAATTAAGATCAGAAAATGATGTGAAGCGATAGAGGAGTGGGCTCAAACCTAAAAGGGATTGGTAATTGCTGAGAATGCAAGAATAACAATAGATGCTTACAGGGCCGGACTGGGACAATAAGTCAGGCCGGGAATTATACACCCAGCCAGGCCACTACCAGTTTTCTTTTGTGCCATTTTCCTGGATTTATTTGTCAATATTTACAGCGTTGCTGCCCATAGTGATAGCCCTGCACTTTAAATCGACTACCCCAGAATAAACATATGGACATGGGTTACTATTTAAAAAAAAATTCAAAATCTATTTAGGAACCTATCCATGTGAACATATTTTAAGTGGGGGTGAACCTCAAATCCTCTAGGGGGGTCCGGGGGCATGCTCCCCCGGTAAGATTTGTTTTTTAAATGTTTGACTTAAATGCATCAATCTGGTGCACTTTGAGGGGGAAATAAAGAGACTACACACATATGAAACAGAACTGTATACATTTAAATAATCATAAAATCATAAGAACATGGCCATAACCAATAACATACCATATCCAAAATGAATTGAAACTTGTTTATTTATTTGTTTCATTTATAGTTGTGAGTGTGTCTGGGCTCCTGAACCAGCCTCCCTCCTCTCCCCCCTGCTCCTCTTTGAGGCAGCAGCAAAGACTAGTTTTAGCTCTCAACAAGTTTTTAAAGTGTAACTTTTTTTTAAATTATTCATGCATATTTTACTAATCACTCCCCCTTCAAAAGGAAATATATGTTTACATAGATGGTGACCAAACCGTTTGAGACCCACTGAGAACTTAGACTAAGTTAACTATCCAAACACTCAGAGTCCTTTACCTCACCTGAGCTGTAGTTATCAGTCTCTCAGTCTGACAGCTCATTATATCCGTTAGCGCAGCTAGCTAGCACCAGATGCTAACAACAACAATACACGGAACCGGTGCACGCGCTTTCTCTCTCGCTCACTCGCGCCACACATACACTCCCGAGCTTGAATGACACGAGACCAATCGAGGGCATTAGTATGATCTGTATTAAAGTGGCCATGTCGGCAGGCCACATCATGTAGACAGCCAGTCACCCTCTGTGAGGCAGAGACCCACATTTGCGCAGCGTTGCATTCACAATACATACATAACAAAAATTCCTCAGGCCAGCAGGCCACTTAACAGGCCAGGCCATTGGGAAACCTCCCGGTCCTCCCGATGGCCAGTCCGGGCCTGGATGCTTAGCAGTGGAAGTATTGCGAAAAAAAGGGAGGTGGAAGTTACCATTTATAGGCATTCACTCCCCGCCTATTGCCATGTAGGAATCAAGATACTGGAGGTGTTCTGATGCTGAAGTTGTTGTTCCCTTTTATTTGCACACCGGTTTCCTCCATCCCTTAACGCATTGCAAGGAAGACAGGCAGGAAGGAGGGGTCCCCAGCGGCAGTAGAGGTGATGAGGGCAAGGCCAAGATGTAGGAGGAAGAGTAGGAGGTAATGTAAGAGATGTACACATACACACAAAGATCCACTTTTGAAGCCAGTTAGCCTCAGAAACATATGAACACATTCTTCTTTTCTCTGTATGGCTCAGAGAGTTACTGGAAAGCCTTGTCAATGCAGTTCATAGATAATGATGTTTGAGGGAAATATTTGGTGCAATTACTCTTATTGAGTCTCATGGGAGGAGGTCAAACTGAGCCTGGGTGCTCTTCAGTGGCCATGACAGGGAGGTCACTGTCAGACGACCAAAGTGCCAGTTATACCATTTTCATGTTCTATGTTTTGTATCTGACACAGACATACAACTTCTATATGACAGATAATTTGGTATGTTATTTTTTAATGTTAAATAATATGTAACTAAAGGAAGGAATACATTCATACTTGTTTGATCAAAATGTGCTAGTGTGGGTTTTTTTCTTTAATGTCTTGGCGATTGTCTATTCAAACACCACACACACACACACACACACACACACACACACACACACACACACACACACACACACACACACACACACCACACACACACACACACACACACACACACACACACACACACACACACACACACACACACACACACACACACACACACACATACCATGTATACATCATTTCAGGGGACATTACATTGACTTACATGCATTTTCTGGAGACTTATCCTAACCTTAACCATAACCACCACATGCCTAACCCTAACCCTTAACCTTACCCTAACCTTAACCCTAAACCTAACCAAGTCTTCACCCTAAAATTAATGATTCCCCTCATGGGGACCTCCATAAGTGAGGCGAGTCCCCACACGTGACTGTGTAAACAGATTTAGGTCCCCACAAGTATAGTAATGCTAGGCCACACACACACACACACACACACACACACACACACACACACACACACACACACACACACACACACACACACACACACACACACACACACACACACACACACACACACACACACACACACACACACACACACACACACACACACACACACACACACACACACACACACACACACACACACACACACACACACACAAGGCAAGGCAAGTTTATTTATATAGCACTTTTAAACACAAGGCAATTCAAAGTGCTTTACAAAAAATTAAAGACATTAAGAAAAAGGCACACACACACACACACACACACACACACACACACACACACACACACACACACACACACACACACACACACACACACACACACACACACACACACACACACACACACACACACACACACACACACACACACACACACACACACACACACACACACACACACACACACACACACACACACACACTTGCCATTGTGTAAGTCTTCCAGGCACTTGTCCAGCATTCTTAACGGTGCAAATATTGAGCTGAGAGAAATGGAGAACAGGAAGCGTGAAGAAAATAAAGCACATGCACTGTAAACTTCCTCATTTACCCGTATGTCAAACTCAAGGACTCTGGATGGTACAACGCTCCAATGACAAATCACACCTGCTCTGACAATATGCCGTAGGGTTTATTTATGAGAGACAATACCCACTACGATAGTATTTAGATGACAAATGAGTATTAGCATTGTTGATCATCACATAGAGATAATAATAATCTAATTTGTGTAATCCAAATGCACTACACCAAAAACTGTTGTGGACATGTGTCTATGTTCTCCTAAAGAAAAAGATAAACTTTAAAATGTGATGACAATTGATTTATACACATGAAATCATCTTAACTGCAAAGTTCACATAAGTACATTTAAAAGATTGTTGGCCACTGTAATCATCACACTCCAAAGATCCCTTCATATGTTGTGCCTCTACTGTGACATGTTTACATGCTTTACTGTTCTTATTTTTCTCATACTGCCTGTGCTGCAGCACCTCTTTTCACCCTCTGTCTGAAACCAGAGCCCAGTCTGCTGATTGGTAAGCTGGCCGGCTCTGTTGTGATAGGACAAGCACGAGATACCCTGCGCCTTAGACTATCACATACAATGTGTTGGAGTGCTAGCCAATGCAAGCATGAGTGTTACATAGTGATGTCACTATGTTATGTAAGTAAACAAGGCATTAGATCCGAGGCGTTTCAGGCAGGGAGAGAAAACTCCCTCCGTAGGGAACTATGGGATTTTAGCCTTTGCAGACCATTTATATGCACAAAATTATATAACACACTACTGGAAAGGGAAAACCCCAAAAAGCAATATAGAGCCCTTTAACCTGTTAAGCCCCGAGCCTGTTTTTCAGGTCTCAGGGTCAAAAATGACATTCCCAGAACAAATGACCATATCTTCCCTTCTAAAAGGGGTAAATTAATAATCTTTTTTTCTCAAAGTAATGATAAACCTGTGAGTTGGATGTAGAACAGTCAGAATCAATATAGATGTTTTTATTTTAAAGAAAATTCAGATTGAACATAGTAAAAAACTGTAAATTATAGTGTCCGTCCAAAAATGTTTTTGTACTTATAGTGAAAACTAACCTTGGATGATGGGTTAGTAGACTAAAAGCTTTAGGAATCCAAAGTACAACATATAGTAAGTACCCTGTATCAAGATTGATGCAAAACAAGTGGTATTTTACCTTTTTAGACAGATTTAGCAAAAAAAACCTCTTCTGGGGCCATTTGGGTGGATTTTCCATATCTCTGGCCCCCCTTGTTCGATTTTGACATGTGACATCTCTTTTTGACCGTTAGAGCCAATATAATCTAAGGGGAATCGTCCCGCACACACTCATGTTAATAAAAAAAATGGCATCTTCGCGCAAGCAGTTTTATTGACTTATTTTAAAAATGTCATAGCATGATACCTATCGTAGCAAACTCATTTCAAATATACTTACAAGACACAATCATAAAACAGACTAACCCTTCCAGCAGTGAGAGTTGGCCAA